GGGCTCTAAGAGGTCGTCTGTGGGTAAAATAAAAATTTCCTGGCCGGGCGCGTGGCTTTCTTCTAATCCCAGCACTTTGTGAGGCTGAGGTGGGCAGATCACCTGAAGTTATGAGTTCAAGATCAACCTGATCAACATGGAGAAACCCTGTCTCTACTAAAAATACAAAATTAGCTGGGGGTGGTGGCATGCACCTGTAATCACAGCTACTCAGGAGGCTTAGGGAGGAGAATCACTTACACCCAGGAGGTGGAGGCTGCAGTGAGTGGAGGCTGCAGTGAGCCAAGATGGCACCATTGCACTCTAGCCTGGGCAACAAGAATGAAACTCTACCTCAAAAAGTTTCTCTGAAATTGTTTTTAAAGATACAGACAAATTGTCATTTGACAATTTCTACAATTTGTCTACCATTTGACCTCAAACGTAGTATTCCGTGTGTGTGTGTGCACACGCGTGTGTATGTCTGTTTTTACATCTATGCTAACATAAAATGTTTCAGCTTAAGCATGTTTTAGTACACAGTCTAGAGGCGTTAAGCACAATTACAGTGTTGGGCAACCATCCCCATCATCTATCTTCAGAATGTTTTCATCTTCCAAAACTAAAACTCTATCCCCATTAAACAGTAACATCCCATTCTCCCCTGCTCTAGAAATATCAATATATTAACACTCTTAAATAACACACCAAGCTGGGTCAAAATTAACCAATTTTCTTTAAAATAACCAAGGACAGGCTTGATCAGGACAAGACCATGCCCTAAACCTTTGACTCTGACTCTTTCCAGAATCTATCCCTAGCCCAGCACAGTGGCTCACACCTGTAATCCCAGCATTTTGGGAGGCCAAGGCAGGAGGATCACTTGAGCTCAAGCGTTGGAGACCAGTCTGAGAAACATGACAAAACCCCATCTCTACAAAAAATACAAAAGATTGGTCAAGAGTGGTGGCATGTGGCATGTGCCTGTGGTCCCTGCTACTAGGGAGGCTGAGAAGGGAGGATCACTGGAGCCCGTGAAGTGGAGTGGAGGCTGCAGTGAGCCGTGGTCATGCCACTGCATTCAAGACTGGGTAACTGAGCAAGACCCTGTCTCCAAAATATATATATATATATATATATCCCTGCCCAGTTAAGTGCAGTATTCCTGTCCAGGGCACCAGCACCAGTTAAAGAACTTCTAACATTTGGTGATGATTCCTGCATGTTCCACAGTACACGTGTAATGTAAAGAGGGGAACACTATGTAGGTCAGTAGAAAAACAAACTAGAGTCTTTGGGCCACTGACCGTTCTTGATCCAAGCCTCAACCCAGTTTTAAAAATCTTGCCTCACTTTTCTCATAACCCTGCAATTCCCACATGAATCACCAAGTTAATTATACTTGTTATATTTGGGAAGGACAGAGTGGACAACATAAAACTAAGTATTCTATGACCAACTGAAGATTAGAGAACAAGGCTCAGTGTTTTCACATTTAAGTACACGTTATCATAGTTTCTTCCAAACCCACAACCTATAAGTACCTTTGAAAATGATCTTAGAACTACTGACCCGACCAACCCATTCCACTCCCGTCCCATTGAGAGCTGCCCGTGGACAAAAAGCCTGCAAGGGCTTCACACGGCCCAGGCTGCCGACCGCAAGTCAAAGGCAGTGGCACCAAGAGACTGGTAGAGTTGTCGAGTTAGGAGCCTTTGCCAGAAAGCTTAGTTAGGATAGGAATAGAAAGTGTCTTTAGAGCCTTAGGAACAACAGGCTAAGTGAAACAAGCCAGCCGCAAAAGCACAAATACGGTATGATTCCACTCATTGAGGTAAAGTAATCAAAGTCATAGAAACAGGAAGAAGAAAGGTAGTTACCAAGGGCTGGGGGAATTAGTGATTAGTGGGTATAGAGTTTCAGTGCTGCAAGATGAAAACATTCTTGAGATCAGCCACACAACAATGTGAATAAACTTAACCCTAGTGAGCCGTACCCTTAAAAATAGGGTAATCTTAACTTTAAGATGGTAAAGTTAATGTTATGTGATTCTTACCGTAATTTTTTTAAAAAGGAAAAAAGTTAAAAGCCTAAAAGGAAAACTACTTTGGGATTAAAATATAATTCAACAAGAAATGGAAAGAATGCCATATTTGTCTGTTTCACACTGCTGATAAAGACATACCCAAGACTGGGACGAAAAAGAGGTTTAATTGGACTTACAGTTCCACATGGCTGGGGAGGCCTCAGAATCATGGCGGGAGGTGAAAGGCACTTCTTACACGGTGGTGGCAAGAGAAAATGAAGCAGAAGCAAAAGTGGAAACCCCCGATAAAACCATCAGATCTTGTGAGACTTATTTACTATCATGAGAACATCAATGGAAAGACTGGCCCCCATGATTCAATTACCTCCCCTTGGGTCCCTTCCACAACATATGGGAATTGTGGGAGATACAATTCAACTGAGATTTGGGTGGGGACACAGCCAAACCATATCAAGTGCCATGAAAAATTTGACAACGCTTTCAAGAACACAGTTTTGTTAAATGAATGACACTGTTTAGATACTGTTTTCCTTTTCACATAATCTTGAGAGGTATGTACAGGTCCTGAAAGAAACCAAATTCTCAAATCAGGAAAGTGAGAAGGGAAGGCAAACAGAGTAACAGAAAAATGCATCCTAACCCACAGGGAAATTTAAACATTCAAGCAGTGCCTGGCTTTAAAGTTGAGCAAAATTCACTTATTTCCTCCCTAGACTACAGAACATACTATACTACCTGAGACTCTTATGGAGAAGGAACTAGACTGGGTGTTGGTAAAGCGTCCACACTGTCAGTGTGCTATCTCTCTTTGTTAGTTAGACGTGCTATCTCTCTTTGTTCCCCCCTTCTCTCCCCATAGCCCCAAATCTATATCCACAAAGCACAGGCATATTATATACTGAAAATCCATTCAAGACTCTCAGATGAAAAAGAAGTGAAGGAGTTACAAACAGCCCAGTATTACTACAGCTTATCTCATCAAGAACTAAGAACTATTCCACCAAGCAGGCCACCCCTGCTAAGAAGTTTTGATAACCAAGCAGCCTATTTGCCTCAAATTATGGAAAACTGGCCCGGAAGCTTTTATTCTCAACACAACAACTTGCAAACTCAATTCGTAAACTGTATGGTTTTGGCCGGGCACGGTGGCTCATGCCTGTAATCCCAGCACTTTGGGAGGCTGAGGTGGGTGGATCACTTGAGGTCAGGAGTTCCAGACCAGCCTGGCCAACATGCTGAAACCCCACCTCTACTAAAAATACAAAAATTAGCCAGTGTGGTGGGCGGGCACCTGTAATCTCAGCTACTCAGGAAGCTGGGCCAGGAGACTCACTTGAACCCAGGAGGCTGAGGTTGCAGTGAGCCAAGATTGTGCCACTGTAGTCCAGGCTGGGCAACAGGGCAAAGCTGCATCTCAGAAAATAAATAAATAAATAAATAAATAAAAACAAAAACATAAACTATGTGTTTTAGATCCTTGCATCTGACTTCCCTTTATTTCCTTAAGTCTTCACTTTTAATATGCACCTCTGAGGTAGAGGCCCATTTATAACATTAAATTAGCTTCTTTAGTAAAATGGAGAACCTAGGTTTCTCTTACAATCATCAAAATATAATCAAGCAAACCAGTTTCTGGATTCACATATTTAATTTCAGTGATACGACTTTTCATTCGTTTTATGCTGAAGAATCAAAATCAGGAACAGTGGCACTCCTATAAAGAGAAGAAACTTCTTCAGCTGCTTAACAAGGTAGATAACTAAGTTCAGCTTCAGTGATTTAGTCAGACTTGTTCATACACTGATCAGGACAACATTACCCTAAGCTGTCACTGGGATGCCAGTATTTTCACCACTCTATTTGTGATGAACTGAATAGTTTGTTTTTTGTTGTTGTTGTCTTTTCTTGAGACGGAGTCCCGCTCTGTTGCCAGGCTGGAGTGCAGTGGCATGATCTCGGCTCACTGCAACCTCCACCTCCCAGGTTCAAGCGATTCTCCTGCCTCAGCCTCCTCAGTAGCTGGGACAGCAGGCACACACCACCACACCCAGTTAATTTTTGTATTTTTAGGAGAGATGGGGTTTCACCATGTTGGCCAGGCTGCTCTCAAACTCATGTCCTCAAGTGATCTGTCGGGTGAGAATCTCAGACAGATCTCCTGTAATCTCAGCCTCCCAAAGTGCTGAGATTACAGGCATGAGCCACCGCACCTGGCCTGAAAAGAATGTTTGTATCCTCCCCACAAATTAAAATGTTGAAATCCTAATCCCCCATGCAATGGTATTAGGGTCTCTGGCAGGTGACTAGGTCATGAAAGTGAAGCCTTCATGAATGGGATTAGTGCCCTTAGAAAAGAGGCCCAAGAGAACTCCCCCTTCTATGACATGAAGGCACACCAAGAAGCTGGCTGGCTGTGAACCAGTGAGCAGAGGCCTCACAAGACACAACTGCCAGCATCTCGATGACCTCGGACTTTTCGGGCTTCAGAACTACGACACATAAATATTTGCTCTTATAAACCACCCAGTCTATGGCACTCTGTCCTGGCAGCCCAAACTGACTAAGGCACTATGAAAGTTTAAGAATTTTAAGAGAAAGTAACAAGTTAATCTCAGCAAATATCGATATATTTGAACTTTGGCTCCAATTACTTGCATCCTATACTTCTGATTGCTGAAAAAGATGGACCGAAAGAAGACAGAAAAGATACTCAGGGAGGAAACCAGGCCAGTGCCATGCCCGTCTGTCCCCACGCTGGTTGGAATATTTGCTGTGTTCCATTTGGGAGAACTATATTGTATCTATCACACACACAAGGTGTACATTCTACATTCCCATTGGGATTTTGAATTATCACTTAGGAAAAAAAATTAAAGCGTGTGTATGTGTAGGGGGGCTAAGCACGTGTGCCCTGGGCAAGAGTATCTACAAAACAGACCCCGGGTGCTGGAACGCTGCAGGCCCTGGTTCTCACCTGACCATAGTCCGTCCGGAAGACGACGACGCCTTCTGCACAGGAATTTACGGTACTTGGAAAATGCTGGCCATTTTCTCTCAGCCAGACCCGTGTTCCCTGTAAACAAAACAAACAAGATTTAACTGAGCTTGGATTGCATTTTTGTGGTGAAACTCCACTGTCGAAATTACCGTAATGCCTACATTCCTTTAAAAAGAATCTTTCTGAAAAGTAAATGTCTTTCTCAAGCACAGAACAAATCTTCAGGAAGCATCATCCACAGCCTTTACTACCCACAGAGTGACTGAGAGTCCCACATACACAGACAGCAAACAGGAGCTAAGAAAATCGTAGCTAGCCCCTGTGTTCCTACCATGTAACTGATTTACATGGATTACTTCATTTGAGATGATGAGAAGGCACTACTATCATTCCCATTTTATAGACAGCCAAAGGCCTACAGGTAAAGTAACTTGACCAACATCAAAAAGACTGAGCAAGACTTGACAGAGTTGGGCTCCAGAAACCAAAAGTTTAACTAGGTCACAACAAGCCTTCACCCTCTTTGAGAACTCTTCAGAAATTAATGGCTCCCATCCTCTTAGGTCAAAGTCCAGTACACTTGCTCACTTGGAGGACATTAGACCACTCCACTGACTCCTACTTATACCAAAATCCATGTATAAACTGGACTCTCCAAAGGAGGAACTGATGATTCTGGCAATTATCAGAACTCGGTCCACCAGTACAAATGTTGTTAGGATTATATGAGACACCTAATGAACTTCAGAGCTCAGGATGGTATCTTAAAAGACAGCAACTTCCAGATCCTACTTTTCAAATCTTGGGCACATTTTTTTGGCACTGATCTCATTTCCACTGATTTATTTCCCCACTGGACAAATGAAATCTCAATATTGAGCTTTTTTAATGCTCAGTTTCTTCTTCCTTTGATTTAATTACATGAAACCGTTTTTCAAAGAAAAGGGAGAAAGTCTGGTGGAACTACTGGGTGTTCATTGGTCATTCATAGAATTACCTTCATGAATACTACTCAGCTGTGAAAAGGAATGCAATAACACATTCACAACCATGTGATGGAGCTGGAGACTGTTTTGTCACTCAGGAATGAAAAACCAAACAACATATGTTCTCACTTATAAGCGGCAGCTAAGCTACAAGGATGCAAAGGCATAAGAATAACACAATGAGCCGGGCATAGTGGCTCACAGCTGTAATCCCAGCACTTTGGGAGGCCAAGAGGCAGGCAGATCACCTGGTCAGGAGATTGAGACCATCCTGGCTAACACGGTGAAACCCCATCTCTACTAAAAATATAAAAAATTAGCCGAGCATGGTGGTACATTCCTTTAAAAAAAAAATCTTTCTGAAATGTAAGTCCCAGCTACTTGGGTGGCTGAGGCAGGAGAATCACTTGAACCTGGGAGGCGGAGGTTGCAGTGAGCTGAGATTGCACCACTGCACTCCAGCCTGGGCGATAGAGCGAGGCTCCGCCTCAAAAAATAATAACAACACAATGAACTTTGGGGACTCAGCAGGAAGGGTGGGGGGCAGAGAAGGATAAAAGACTACACACTGGGTCTAGTGTACACTGCTTGGGTGATGGGTGCACCAAAATCTCAGAAATCACCCCTGAAGAACTTATCCATGTAACCAAACACCACCTGTTCCCAGAACACTATTAAAATTAAAAAAAAAAAAAAATTACCTTTATGATATCTACCCATATGATAGAATGTAACACTGAGCTTCAGTATCTCATTAAACTTTTTCTACTCTGCTCAACAATTTCAAGTCCAACAAAAATGACACTGAGCACATCATTATGAATCAATGTATTCATGTGGAAATAGAACAAAATTATCACCTGACATAGCACTTTTTTTTCTCCCTCCCTCCCTTCCTAAAATAGCACTTTCATTGAACAACTCCTTTTCCAGAATTTTCCACCTCATTTCATGTATTCCTATTTTGTTAAACGCTTGAGATAGACTGGTTATGGTATGTTCCACTTCCAGCAGAAGGAGCTAGTACTGCTCTTTTAACATAGAGTTGGCAGGGAGTAAATGACACAAACTCACTATTTTATGCTGCTTTAAATGGTGCCAATCAACATATATCAGGCTCATGTGCTAAGAAGCCTCAATGACATTATATTGAATACTAACCTTCCGTAAAATAGGAATCCCCTCAATTCCAAGAGGAAATTGAAGCTTGGAGCTTAAGACTTTGCCCAGAGCCACACAGCTAGTGACCTAGGCAGGTCTCTCCAAATTCCTAATCCCATGCTCTTCCCATACATCACACTGATTCTACTTGTCTCCTGAAAATAATTCATAAATGAATCAAATGCATTCATAGATCAGTCAGCAATTAAAATCTAACAACACAGAGGCCACCTTAAAAGGCCAGTTATCACACGTAACTATTTGCGCTCTCTCATTTTCCTAGGAAGGAACATTTAAGATGACACAAAATCTAACTTAAAGGTTACTCCATTCCCTCGGTGCCAACGATGACACTGTTTAAAATCCACGAGCCAGAGGCGGGACATGATGGCTCACACCTGTAATCCCAGCACTTTGGAAGGCCAAGGCGGGCAGGTCACTTGAGATCAGGAGTTTGAGACCAGCCTGGCCAACATGGTGAAACCCCATGTCTACCAAAAAATACAAAAATTAGCCAGACATGATGGCACATGCCTGTAATCCCAGCTTCTCTGGATTCCAGAGGCAGAGGCAGGAGAACTGCTTGAAACCAGGAGGTGGGGGTTACAGTGAATCAAGATGGTACCCCTACACTCCAGCCTGGGCCACAGAGTAAACCCCATCTCCAAAAAATAAAAAATAAATAAATAAAATCCACGAGCCAGGACCTCACATGTTAACTGTTACTCGGGATCCATAGTTAAGACACTCTTGAGTTTGATGAATAAATTTGGGGCGAGCCAGCTAGAATCTGGGGCCCCAGGAGGAGGTTCTACAAGCATTTCTAAAATCAAAGTGGCTAGAGATCCCACGATTGAAATGGAACAGACTCCCTTCTCCACTGACCAACTCACACAGTTCCCCCAGACTTCTGCGACTCTCCTAGAATCCCCTATTGCGAGCTCATCTATAAGAGGCCCTCCCCCATATACACTCATTTCCCCTATGGAGATCTTAAGTTGTTTGCCCCATTCATAGTTCTTCAAAGACACCCCAAAAACACCTCCCAAAGAGGAGTTTAAATCCTCCACTATAAAGATGGAAAACAGCATCAAAAATGAATATTAAGTGCTCCTATATAAATCCTGAGACCTATTTAAAGAACACTCAGCACCAACAGGGCCAGTACCCATTTGCACGTTAAGTCCTTCACATCCCCCGACTCTTGCTTCAGGCTGAGACACTGGTAACACGCATAAAGAATGACACTTAACAACTGCCTGTCAGTCCTGACTTCTTTATTAGCCAACAGCTGCTTCTAAAAAGAACACCGACTTCAGGCATCTGCTAAGACTGTGGTCTCTCAAATATTACTGCAAACCTAAAACGCATGATTGGTAACATTCTAGAAAAAGATTCTGAGTGCCTGATGACCTTTTTCAGCCTCTCTTTAATTCACACGTCAGGCACTGCAAAACTTGAAAGCTTTGAAATATACACCCCCAACACACATGCACACCCATGCTCGCTGCAATGAAATGTGCGAAGTTATATAAGGCAGGACTTTTACTCATTAAGTTAAAATCAAGAAACAATAACTCTCAGTACACCTCTGTCCCAGAACCCCTAGTCCAAAGCTTTCTGTGTGGTGTGACTATCACTGGCATTGTTTTCATTAAATAGAATTTCACACACGTTTCCCAATTAAAATTGTCTATTTAGTAAGGGATGAAATTGATATGATGTAACATTATCAAATTAATATAAATTGTAGGCAGGATTAATATGTACCTCTTGACTTCCACAGGCCACCCAGAGCACATACTTCCACTCCAGCGTGCAGTTTCTTTGACTTAGCGTCTCACTGTGGCTCCCTTTATCCTTTTGTTTGAAAGTACTACAAAGCTCTTTGTTGACACACTGTTTCATGATCAAACACACAGTTCAGCTCCTGTAGTCCAAAGGTCTTTTCCAACAGGTGTGAAGAACTGCTGATAAGCAACTTTTATAAAATCCAGCCCAGGTTTCAAATCCAGAGCCCATTGGCCAGTTTTCCCAAGTCTATCACAAACAGCTGTCTTCCACAGGTGGGAGGGGAAATGCATTCAAAACACTCCCTTTGTTCTTTGAAAAGTATTAACTGGCAATTTTCATAGAATCAGAATTGCAAAATTAAACTGCTGAAATAGGTATTTTTTACATAGATTGTTCCTGGCACCTTCCCTGCGACCCCAATCTTTCTACTTCCCCTCTATTAGAACATATGTGCACGGGTCTAAAAGAGGCCACCCACAAGCATCTGAAAATGAAATCATAGGCAGACATTTACCAGACCATCTAAGTTGGAGTGGGAAAGAAAAATTTGCCCACCATATGCAAACTATTACATTCTGTCATTGTTAAATAAGGTTGATAATTTAATACACAATATAGGCAACCTAGCATATGGAAAAGGCTCACAATTTGATTAAAAGTTGCCTTTATAAACAGGTGGAACAAGTTTGATCATAACACACACATTTTATTAAAACTTGGACAAGTTTGCATCTTAATCTCTGAGACAAATATGGGAGTGTTAATAAAATGGCTAAAACTTTTCCTGTACATAATCACCAGAAACCTTTCTGCAATATAAAACACTTGCACATAAATTCCTACCCCCTTTGAACTTTAAAGCAACCCTCTAAGAGAGAGAGGCAAGATCATCCCTTTCTTCAAACGTGAGGTTCATACAGGTTCCATCTTCTCCTGCCAACAATGATTTCCTGGATATGATCAAAAGGGCTGACTTTACCAAATGCTGATGAGGATGTATATGGGAATGTAAAATGGTATATCCGCTTTGGAAAATGGTTTGGCAATTTCTTAAGAAGCTAAACATAATCTTACCATATGTCCTAACGATTTAACTCCTGGATATTTGTCTATTCAAACACATTTAAGTCTTGTGTGCAAACACAGCAGCAATAATCATAGTAGCCAAGGACTGGAAACAACTCAAAGGTCTAGTAACTGATATAAACAGAATAAATCCATACAATGGGACTCCTCAAGGTTATTTAAAAAAAAAAAAAAAAAAAAAAGAATCACTGATACATTTGCCAACAAAAATGGACCATGAAGACATCACAGTAAGTGACAGAAGCTAGAGACAAAAGGCTACATAGTGTGGGGTTCCATTTATATGAAGTTTCTGGAAAGGCAAATGCATAGACACAGATAACAGATGAATGGCTACACAGAGCTAGGTGCGGGAGGGACAGTGACAAAGTGAAAAGGAAGAAACTCTGTCCTAAAACCGCCCTGTGGGGATGGCTGCACACCTGTATACCTGTGCTGAAAATCACTCTACTGCGCACCTACCATGGGTATTCTCTCTATGTAATTATAACTCAATAATTTCAAATCATTTTCTAAAAATTGTTTTCTAGCCTATATGTTTCTTAAACATACATGAATATTCTTTTTTTTTTTTTGAGACAGAGTCTCACTCTATCGCCAGGCTGGAGTGCAACTTCCGTTTTCTGGTTTCAAGCAATTCTCCTGCCTCAGCCTCCCGAGTAGCTGGGACTACAGGCGCCCACCATCACACCCGGCTAATTTTTTGTATTTTTAGTAGAGACCGGGTTTCACCATATTGGCCAGGATGGCCTTGATCTCTTGACCTCGTGATCCACCCACCTCGGCCTCCCCAAGTGCTGGGATTACAGGCGTGAGCCGCCGTGCCCGGCCACATAAAGACATTCTTAACCATTCCATAGTGGGAAAACCCAATCACATTTCTGTAACAGCAACAGAGGCGTTGAGAAACATACCAAGCAATAATAACCCCATAATGATTAAATATAAGGGCCATGCTGAATTCATTAAGTCTCTGCTCTCCATTAACATAGACTAGACGGGCTAGGAAGTCACGCAGGAGACAGGCCCAAGCTAATCTAAGGATGAGGTTATAGCAGATTGTACCATGATGTCACTGTGGACGATTAGCCCCTCCCTGGAAGACAATCATAAAACCCTGGCCAACTACCTTCTGCTTGGCGATACCTCCCCAGCCTGGCCCATTCATCACCTATTATCTATGACTCCTTCCCACTCCAATGCCAAAGTGAAGCTGTTGCACAAAGCCTCAAATATTGACACACAAAGTTGCTGGCCTGTGCTTTAAGACAAAGAAGATAACTGGTGCCGTGGCTCACGTCCGTAACCCCCGCACTTTGAGAGGCCAAGGTGGGAGGATCACGAGGTCAGGAAGTCAACATAATCCTGGCTAACACGGTGAAACCCTGTCTCTACTAAAAATTCAAAAATTAGCTGGGCGTGGTGGCACGCACCTGTAGTCCCAGTTACTTGGGAGGCTGAGGCAGGAGAATCACTTGAATCCAGGAGGCGGAGGTTGCAGTGAGCCGAGATTGCACACCTGCACTCCAGCCTGAGTGACAGAGCAACACTCTGTCACACACACAAAAAAAATAAATAAAGAGGATATTACCACCATCACAGATTTAACCTCCTGTTATTCTTTCAAAAACTATTACATTTCTCTTCTAATTTTAAAAATGATTTCTTTCTTGAACTCTGATTGAAAAAATTCAGTTTAAAAATAAGTTAGAGAAACAACCCTAAAAAGAGATGAAGGTGGACTTTAAATACCATGGTGTAGGGCATGTTCTAATTACAGATTCATGAAAAAGAGAACATTCTTTAGCCAAACATACAACTTAGTCTCAGCCCCGGAACAGGGCACGGCGCCTGCTCAGCTCTCACAGCTGTTCATCTCGCCTACGTTAAGCACCTCAGTCCGGGATTCTCTAGCCACCTACAAGACAAACTACAGTTTGCTATTGAAATGTGGTCTGCTTTTTCATTTCTGCAGATGCACAGGGCCGGCACAATGGCTCATGCCTGTAATCCCAGCACTCTGGGAGACCGAGGCAGGCAGATTGCCTGAGCCCAAAAGTTTGAGACCAGCCTGGCCATCCTGGAGAGACCCCATCACTACAAAAAAATTAGCCAGGCAAGGTGGTGCATGCCTGTGGTCTCAGCTACTTGAGAGGCTGAGGTGGGAGGATCACCTGAGCCTGGGAAAGTAAAGAGTGTTGTGAGCCGTGATTGACCACCTCACTCCAGCCTGGGTGACAGTGAGACTCTGTCTCCAAAAAAATAAAATAAAAACACACAGAGGTCAAATAACTTTGTAATGCATCAGATAAATTAATATAGCTATGTAAATCTGCAACAAATTCAACAGTCAAAACAAAGTTTTCCTCTTTGTGCCTGCAATGACTCAGTGAAGAAGTCACCTGGCTTAGGGGCTCTCTAATGGAGGCCTAGGGAATAGGGATATTTGTTCTGGATGAACTGCAGAAACTGGCTGTGGATAATATATTATAGCACCAAGGACTTCAATGGCACTTTTTCTACTGTTTTACAGTCTTTTTTTTTCCTCTTGGAAGCAGGAGTTCTCTTTCCAACTTATCAGATGCTTTTTTGGTTTTTAAATCTTATTACTCAAAGCCACATCAAAGGACAAGTGGTCTTTATAACACAAAGTTGTAATCCAAGTTTCTCCAACTTGGTACTAGTGACACTGTGGACTGATGACGCTTTGTTGGGGACTGCAGGTTCATTCTGGTTGAGGACCTCTCTTCTAGAGTAACACAGTGTTCTAGAGTCATGGTCAAATTGAAGGAGTTGACAAAACCATTCACAGTCAGTGACCTAGTTAACTGAAAGCAGACTCTGTTGTCTAAATCCCATGAATTTCGAAAATCCCAAGAATGAAGGTCAGTTCAGATAAAGTACACCTGGGGCAGACCTAATTCCTGGTATCATTAAAATGGGGTACACACAGAATAGTGGAAGCGGCCTCTGCAGCCTAATTCAAACCCTTTGACAAACATAAGAAAAAGAGCAGCAGAAGCCGACAGGTGAGCAGTGGTGCTAGAATTCTCTCTAGAACACTCTTCTTTTTCTCCTGTCTGTCCACTGTGCTTTTATTTTTGTTCAAGGGAGAGCCCACTTTTACTGCAGATGATTGGAACCATGCAGACACAGCCGGTCCACTATGCTCTTTAACCTGAGACACTATCTCAATTCCCAAATGCTTGCAAACCCCAAAGCAAAGTTTGTCAGAAAACTTAGCCACGTGCAGATGAGCATGGAGAGAGAAGCAAAGCAACATGCTCATCAGCCAGGCGTGGTGGCTCACGCCTGTAATCCCTGCACTTTGGGAGGTGCAGGTGGGTGGATCACCTGAGGTCTGGAGTTTGAGACCAGCCTGGCCAACATCATGAAACCCCATCTCTACTAAAAATACAAAAAAATTAGCTGGGCGAGGTGGTGGGCGCCTGTAGTCCCAGCTGCTCAGGAGGCTGAGGGAGAAGAATCACTAGCACCTCGAGGGTGGAGGTTGCAGTGAGCCAAGATCGCGTCACTGCACTCCAGCCCAGGCGACAGGGCAAGACTCTGTCTCAAAAAAAAAAAAAAAAAAAAAGTTGGTGGGGCCTCATCACAGGTATAAAGTAAGTGTGACAAACGCAGCGCTAACACAAGCTGCAGGGATGAAGGAACACTGTCAGCTGGGGCAGAACCCTAAGATTCAGAAATGAAGAGGAAGATAAAATCTAAGACAGTCCCCTGAAGAGACGGCCACCCTCAACAGGGGACCTGAAGTGACAGTAGCCACTCTCCAAAGCATCCCTGGACACCCAGGCATCCCCCACAGCAGTGAGTAGCCATTACAGGTCCTTGCTATAGAATACTCAAATAGAGCAGGGCACCCACGATAGCTAAGTGAGTCCCTCTGACTCACTGCCTTGTCTTGGGACTACAGGGTTTTAAATCGGAGGCTGGCAATCTTTTCTGAAGAACTGCATCCAACTCCACAGAGGAAAGCTTCAATGCAGCCACAGCCATGTAGGCTCTGAAAGGAACACGGGTGGTTTTAGGCTCAAAGGTCAAAGGATGCGGAACTGAAGGAGGCAGAAAAGTCAAAGCTCCACCCTGACAAACTACAGAAGAAGGAAAAATAACACGAGCCTCAAAAGAGAAACTTGGCGAGCATACAGTTGATAATGTTGGAAACGTGTGGTTTGAGAGTCCTGAGTTTGTAATATTTTTCTTTGGGCTGGAGAACAGTGATAGATGTCTGTTCTCTCTGTAGGCACCCCCAAGACCAACTGTCCCATGCCCATCAGAGCTGATGCTGTCATTAAATTCCAGGGATAAATGTGTTCCTGACACTGTGCTTCAGAATTCAGATACAATTTCTTCTCAAAGACAATACCAGACGTGTTGGGTAACTCCCCAGGCTGACCTACTGCTGAAATGCTCTACATTTTTATAAGAAATGTATTTCAGCTATTTATAACCTTCAGCTACATCACCATCATCACTCCTCAAGCTTGCCTTTGGGCTTGAGAAACAGCTGATTATGATGTATAACACTGCTTCGGGCGGGCGTGGTGGCTCACCACTGTAATCCCAGCACTTTGGGAGGCCGAGGTGGGTGGATCACTGGAGGTCACGAGTTCAAGGCCAGCCTGGCCAACATGGTGAAACCCTGCCTCTACTAAAAATACAAAAATTAGCCATGTGCGGTGGCATGGGTCTGTAATCTCAGCTACTCAGGAGTCTGAAGCAGGAGAATTGCTTGAACCCGGGAGGAGGAGGTTGCAGTGAGCCAAGGTCACACCACTGCACTCCAGCATGGGTGACAGAGTGAGAAAAAAACCAAACTTCGGGCTTCTGAATTTCTCAAACTTCTGAAACTTCTGAACTTCTCAGACTTGCCATCGAAGACCACAGTGTTCCAAATACTAACAAACACACCTGAAAAAACTCAGTAGGGTTATAAACTGAGGCCTGCCTGTGCTCATTACAATAAAGTTCACAGGCCAATTTGTCCCATGATTTTGGTCTCTGGCGCACGGGATGAGAAGGATTGACTAGCACCCACGTTCCTTCCCCTTATCCTGCCCGCAATGTCAAACTCTTGTCACCGTGAGAAAGACCAGCTTTCATTCAGAGGATAACATGAAAAGTTTACAATAGTAAGAGGCGGAAAGGGAGAAAAAAAAGAAAAAAGTGGTCAAAGGAATCACCAACAATATACAAGCCTTTAGTCAATGTTCCACAGGAAAGGATACAAAGATTCAGGGCCATCCCATACTCCCGATCAAAATCAAAACCAAAATGAACTATGCTCATTGGCAGGATGCCTCAATGATGAATGTGTGACTCTGTAAAGAGTTTACTCCTGGTCAGGCATGATGGCTGACGCCTGTAATCCCAACAGTGTAGGAGGCTGAGGCGGGTGGATCACAACATCAGGAGTTCGAGAC